ACCCCGATGAGACGGGCCTGCCTCTTCCCACTTCATGGTAAATGATGGCAACAAGTTGGAGGTCTCCGGACTTGGCCTTCACAGTGAGAAGTGCGGCTCGGGGAGGCTAAGTGGCTTGCCCAACGTCCCCCAGCCTGCTGGACTCGTAGCCACCTGCTCAGACACAGCCCTGTCCCCCCTCCAGGCTTGACCATCCCCAAGCTGCAAGAGCTGAAAACAGACCATTCTAGACTTTGCCACCTCAACTTGAACAGCCCACGATTCTATTCTACATTCAGAATATAAGCCTATTGATGGAAAAAAAAAAAACCAAACCCCAAACCAAAACACACAGACATAAACCAGAGAAAGAGGATTCCAGATTAACCAGCTTTTTTTGCAAACGTCAAAGGCTTTGCAATTCTGAGGGTGTGGAGCACAGCTCCTGTATTAGTGGGGGTTCTCCAGAGAGCAGGAATCAAGGGAACGCATACGTAGAAGGAGATCTGCAGTAGGGAATAGGCTCGCATGGTTACAGAGACTGACCGGTCCCAAGACCAGCAGTCAGCACCTGGAGACCGGAGGGCTTCGTGGTGTTTTCTGGTCCAAAGGCCAGCAGGTTTGAGATCCAGGAGACAACTTTTTAGCCCAAAGGCAAGATTAGCTGATATCCCAGTTTGAAGACATTAGGCAGGAGAAATCCTCTCTTCCCTTGTGGGGGGGCAGCCTTTTGTTCTATTCGGGCCTTCGACTGATTGGATGCAGCCCACCTGCATTAGGGAGTGCAGTCCGCTTCAGTCAGGCTACCCATCTAACTGTTACTCTCATCTGAAAAAGCACATCCCCAGAAACACCCACGATAACGTTTGACCAAGTATCTGGGTACTGTGTGGCCCAGCTACACTGACCCATGAACTATGGCTCCCCTTCCGAGAGATTTCAGGAGCCATGAGAGCTGGAGAATGTCCACCCTCGGCCCTGACTTGCAGAATGGAGCTGGAGAAAGGACGTCGCCACTACCCCATGTGGGGACAGAGGATGCGTGTCTGCTATGGGGCCACAAGGTGGCAGCGGGGGAGGCCCTTCCCTGGCCGGAGGAGCCAGGAGGGCGCCCAGCTTCAGCGGGCTGGAAGGCAAGGCTCCCCTTGGGGGCTGACCTTGGGTGTCACTCTGGCTGTAGCACCAGGACTGTCAGATCATGGGTGTAGACGGGGTTCAAGTCCACGGAGACCCACATTGCTCTACAGACGGAGCTGAGGGCGTCCTCCTCCCTGCAACTGGGCCGCTTGCCCCTCGCTGGTTCCCAGAAATAGCCCGGAGAGCAGGCAGCTCACTGTCTGTCCTTCACGGGTCAGGGGACACAGGGCGGTTGGGCTGGTGCACGGATTCCCAGTGATTTGCATATCCGAGGCTCAAGACTGTTTCTCAGTGGGTGTCACCATGGGTCCTGGAGACAGAGTTCTTTAAACCCAAAGGCAAGGTCAGAGCGGGACACTAGTCTGGCCGCTTCTATTGGAGGAGCACGGGCAAGGGGCAGGGCTCTCGAGGGCCGGCCTGACAGCACGAGAACAGCTGTGCGGTCCCCTGCCACCAGGGAGAGGGCTCCGTTTCGCTGTCCCACGCACACAAGCCCGAGATCAGACGGGAGCTGCTGTTCCCAACTGCTCCAGCCACGGCTCTGGTGATGAGGACAAAGGAAAGAAAGCCTGAGTCCCAGCAAGAGAGCCGCTGTGACTCTCCCTCAAGGCAAATTACCTGTCTGAAGTCCTAGCCGAAAATACCCCCACCCCCAAACCTGTTTTCTAAAACAAAACACGGAGCCAGAGAAGCGCCTGAGTCCGACCAATGACTCACGCCCAGGAGCTGCGCGATTGCCCCATGCCCACGGGGTGTCGAGACACCGTGTGGGTCTGGGGGTTCTCACTGCGCTGGTCTGGTCCCAGCCAGATGCATCCCTATCACTGGCCAAGACTCCCGGATCAACCACGTGGACGCTGCGGCTGCTATGGTGACGAAGAACAGAATCCTCTGCATACGTTGACCCTGTTTCCTGCCCCTTTTAAAAAGTTGTCTGATTCAGGGCACCCGGGTGGCTCAGTGGGTTAAAGCCTCTGCCTTCGGCTCAGGTCATGATCCCAGGGTCCTGGAAGCGAGCCCTACATCGGGCTCTCTGCTCAGCAGGGAGCCTGCTTCCCCCCGCTCTCTGCCTACTTGTGATCTCTATTAAATAAATATTTTTTTAAAAAGTTGTCTGATTCAGACACAGAGTGGTAGCAAGCATGTACCACCCCATCTGCGGGCTCGCTGGCCTCGGGCCTTCAGGCGACACAGCCCTGAACCCGTCTGTGGTCTCCCCCCGCACCCTGGCAGCCTGACCCAAGGGGGTGCGGCCCCCCACTCGAACACACCGCGCGGACACCCACAAGCAGTGCTGCTGGCTAGAAATTCCCTGGCTTCCTTTCTTCCCCTAAAAATCCCAATTATTCCATTTCTTCCCCCGTAAAGCTCAGCCTTCGGAAAGCCTGATTTCGGCCCAGCTGCCTCCATCTTGCCGAAGCGACCCCCGGCGCTGTCCTGCTTTGCCCACCTTCAAGCCGTGTCCCCTTGGATGTCCCTTCACCTCTGTCCTTCCTGATCTGTACGATTTTCCCCTTCTGTGCTTTTCTCTTAGAGCCTTATCTGCTGCATTTTTCACTGTGTCCTAGTTCTGTCTGAGTTTCTGAAGTGGTTTCATTCATTTCTAATTCTTGTCACTTCGTTTCTGGGCTTTTCTAATGCATTCTTTCCTGTCCTATTCTCTTAATGTCCTTTAGTTCCTTAAAACAAAAACAAAAACAAACGCAGGCAGACGCACACCCAGAGGACTTGTGGTTGCCAGAGGGGCGGGGGTGACGAGGGACAAACTTCCAGTCATGCAGTCGGGCGTTCCCAGAGACGAGAGGCCCGGCCCGGGGATGTCGACGAGGCGGTGGCGACATGGCCTGCACCAGGCAGTGGCCACACGGGCCGCGGCGAGCGCAGAGGCAGGCACAGAACCGTTGAGTCGGTACGCGGTGTCCCCGACGCTAACGCGACATTGTGTGCTCAGAGGAAACTGTTGACGTTTGTCTGTCTAGCAGGCGCATCTTTCTGGCCTTTCCTGGTCTGTAGGACGCTCTGCACCTGCTCAGCTTCGTATAGACTTGACTTAGACGCTTTTCTGATGCTTATTTTTATGTGAAAGTAGATCGTAAACTTCCAGAATGAAAGGGGCTTCAAGAAAGCGTCTTTAGTTCTCCGGAGCTCCTTCTCCGGTTGCTCTGGGGAAGGTCACGCGAAAACCCTCCCTTCGCGGCTGCCTGCCCGGCTTCAGCCTCCTCTCCCTCCCTCACGCCCTGTCCCTAGTTTTCATCCCACTCCTGGCGGGTTTCCCTCAGTGTGGGGCCCTTCCCAGGGAGCCCGGCAGGCCGTGCTGGAGGCTCCACGGAGCCGACGGCCGTGCCGCACACACTGGCCGCGGGCACCCGGGCTTCCACACCAGGAGGAGGGCTTCGCCGGGCCCTGCTCCCGTCCCCCCGACTGGTCCCCCGGACTGAACGCTGACGAACACTGGGGCTCGGGACTGTGCTGCTCTGGGCCTATGCTCAGGGTTTGCGCAGGTTGCCCATACAGGGCGGGCGGGTCCTGGTAGAAAATAGTTGCCATTTTAACCCTTTCTAAGCCCGCAGTTCAGCCGGCTGCTGCTTTACAGGGCTGCGGTCCTGTTCCCTGAAACCCTGCTTTCCGAAGCCCTTTCATCAAACCAACCCGATTCACTGGGGGGGGGGGGGCACATGGGCAGCTCAGTCGGCTGAACGTCTGCCTTCGGCTCAGGTCACGATCCCGGAGTTCTGGGGTCAAGTCCTGCGTCAGGCTCCCTACTTGGCCAGGGGTCTGCTTCTCTCTCTGTCTCCCTCTGCCACTGTCCCTACTTGTGCTCTCTCACTAGCTGTCCCTCAAATAAATAAAATCTTTAAAATAAGATAAAACGGATTCGTTGGTATGTCATGACATTTTACTGAGATCACTTCCGCCTTGACCGGAGAGCTGAGAGGTGCCCTACGCTTGTGCTCAGGTATGAAAGGAAGTGACGCGTTTAAGCAGAACCACATATTGGAGGTTCGGCGACCCAGAAGAACACTGTGACCGTTGTTCAGGACACCCCACTTGTCGCCTCGCTCTGAGACGGCCGAGAGACAGCAGCAGGCCACCCAGGCTCACCCGTTTCTCATGCCATCCCGGTGAGAGCCTGACACTACACCCACTGCCCGGCAGGCGCAGGCCTCACCCGAGGGCCGGCAGAGGCCTCCGCGCCCGAGAGGGGCTGCTGCGCGCCCTGCCCTCCCCCCAGCAACACGCTACGGTGGGAGGCACGCGGGGGCCGCTGCGGTGGGAACGACGCAGGTCGCCTTCCTCGGCTGCTGGCAAACGCACGGCTCACAGGCGGCCACGGATGTGCGGCCACATCACGCCCCTGCTCCGTCCCCTCTGCCGACTCCCACACACCCTGACCAGGAAAACAGACGACGACGGGGGCAGGCCAGCACGGTGTCTATCCCGGGCTGTTCTGGCCTCGCAACCCTACACACAACCGGCAAGCAGCCGGCGACAAGGGGGCCCAGGTTCCGAAGTCCACACCTGTCCACTTTCTTCTCTCTGAAGCCACGTGATTCGAGGATCCGTGTCGTTACTGAAGAAACAGTGTCTCAGGCAGCCTGCCACGAGCCACGTCTGGCCTCACGGAGTCCAAGGAACACTTGTCGTAGGAGCGAGCGAACCATCGGCTCTGGGTGGCATCTGCGGGTTGGCCGCTCACAGCTGCCTTCGGTCTGCAGGACCGCCCACGCGACTGCAAATGGTCCCGCACATGCGGGGCTCCACTCTGGAACTTCTAGAACCCAGCACCCTGGATCCAGATCTGTCCTCGACCTCTCCCATCTCCTAAGGTCCCACTCTCCAAAGGACGCTGCCGCTGCACGTCCCACAGGAAGAAAGAGACATGCTCGTCTTTAAACAGTTCACATTTATTATCGATAACAGTAAAAAAATCTTTTAAAGACTATCAGTATTGTATTACCAAAGGTGAGGTAATATGTTTACAAAACATTTACAGAATTTGATATGCAAATAAAGGATTGAGGAAGAAAAGTGAGTTAAGACACTAGTAACATTGGGGAAACCAAAAGAACCCTTAGTGCAGAAGAAAGGCGGAGAGTAAGAAATGCAGGGCCTGGAAGGAGGGGCACAGCCGGGTCCACGTGCCGCGGCCCCCTCCGAGGAGAAGCAGGTGCCGCGTCACTCGTGAGCAACCCTGCCGGCGTCTGCGCAGTGATGTGCTTTGAACTCTTAGAGACGCGTTCGACTCTCTGGGGACAAGACAGGGCCACTTCTGAGTCAACTTAAAACGAACACGTCTTCAGACTGGGGGAGGGAGGGACGGCTGCAACTCAGATAGTTCTACAAACATCCCTGGGCTGAGGTGGCCTGTGGAGGGAAGCGTGTTCTTGGCAGCTGTCAGCAAAACCGCCATCTGAGACACACAAAGAGAGAGAGAGAGAGAGAGAGAGAGAGAGAGGAGAGAGAGAGAGGGAAGGGACCACCTTCAGGTCCTTATAATTTAGAAGCAGGAAGCACTGATCGGAAGCAGCACAGGGGCGCTACCTAACCCTAATGTGCTTTCTGGAAACAAGGCTTTAGGTGCCGTGCTGAACCTATCTTTTCAAAGGGAACAACTCCAGGAAGGCCGGCAACCACGGAGAAGCCCCGTCTTTAGTGTGTGGGCCGCCTCACGGGCCTCACCGCCCGGGCATTCCTCCAGAGCCCGCTGGGGCTCACCCACGGGGCACCCACGCCCTCCACACACTTGTCCACACCGTGGCCACCCGCCGCAGGCCCTGGGAGCAGATGGGAAGCAACGCGGCCCAGGCTTCCGTGCCTCACACCTGTCGCTAACAGCCGCGCGGCTTTGGGCTCATATCTTTAAAAACACAAACTCTTCCAACACCCACCACCACACATCACATCCTTATCACAAACACTAACCCAACGCAACATCCAGACAGATTCTCAAATGACCTGCTTTTCCCATTTAAAAAGCTGGAAAAAAACACGGACCAACATGAGAACACCATGCTTGGGAACTGGGAATCCAAAACAAAACACAAAAGGCAAACCAGCTCATATTCTGATCTGCTTCTACGAAGGCTCCCTTGTAACTAGACCCCACTCTCCACCTGCCCCATTTCTCACCAATACCCCAGTGACGTCCACCCCACACCCCACCTCCACCCCTGCCACACACGCATGTGTACCCCCCACGCACTGACACCCACTCCAAAAGCCCCCACTGCCACACTCACACACGTACCCCACACTGCCGCACTCGCACACACTCCACACACGTGCCCCATGCTGTCAGACTCACGCACGTGCCTCCCGCTGCCGCACTCACACCCACATGCCCCACACACATTGCCACACTCACACAAACCCACTGGCACACTCACACGTGCATCCCCCACCATTGCCACACCCACCCCCCACGCCTGCACGTGCAGACACAGCCCCGCAAGCCGGCGGTTTCCGTCTATGCGGCGGGGGGGGGGGTCCCCGTCAGCCCCTCGCTCTCCCGAGGCGGCCGCGCAGCGAGAACACCGATCAGCTCAGACGAACACTGGACAACTTCCAACGGCAAACGCGACTGAGTCTCCAAACAGCCTCCTAGTGACGAGGGAAACCACGTGGGCCCTGAGGCTATCGAGCCAAGAGGCGGCAGAGGGCGCGAGTCTTGAGTGAGCTTAGAATTAGCATGTGCAGAATTAGAATTAGCATTTGCAGAACGACACCAGAAGAAAAAGGGAAAGGATCCCTGATGCGCGAGTTCACCTACAGAAAAATCCTGCTCTGAAAGTACCAAAAAGATGTGGAAAGGAGGAAAGAGAAGCTGTTTAATGGTGGCGGTGCTCTCCTGCTGCTGTGGGGGCCCCCGAGAGCCCCGGGCCCCACCCGCACCCACCACAGGACAGCGGGTCACCTGCCCAGGGGACCCGAGTGGGCTGCTCCCACAGGCTGTCCCCGAGCGCTCCCCATGGAGCAGCGCTGCTTGGAGGACAGGGCCCTGGTGGGCAGCCCCCTGAGCCGCGGGCCGTGCCAGGGACAGCAGGGGGCAACACCGTGACGCAGTGCGGGGACAGGCCAGCAGTTCCTGCTCCGTGTAGGAAGGAGGACCACCGCCGGAGGACGGACGGATGGTGTAGCAATTCATCCGCTAGTGGACAGGGTGTGGAGGTGGCTGGAAACATTTTTTGCATCAACATTTGAGACGAAGTCAACCTCTTAATTGTATACAAACTACTTTGCTTTCGAAAGAGCCCTTGTGCTCTGGTTTGCTTTTGCGCACACTGTGTACAAAATCTATGGCTAAAGAGTGCGAGTTAAAACGACCCGTCGAGACGGTCTGGGCTCAAGGCCTACGCCTCCATCTGGAGAGCTATCTGCTACCTAGAGGGTGAGGAGTCTGCACAGTGTGGCCGCCGGGCGGGTGGCGGGGAGCGGCAGGCTGTCCGAGGAGGCGCGCTGTCCCCTCCGTGCCCTGGGCACGGGCGCCGCGGCACTACCTGGAAATCATGGAGCTGGACTGGGACTGGCTGGAGGAGGTGGTGGCGGCGCTCAGCTGGGAGAACCCGCTGTGGCTGGACTCCAGGCTGGTCATGGAGCCTCTGCGGACGGCACAGGGAGGGGAGAGACGTGAGGCGCCACGGCAGGCCGCCCGCTTGGCACCCCCGGCACTCACACGGCAGGCTCTCCCGGAACCGCGGCTCCCTGCCGGCTTGGCCCACGGGTCCCCCGAGCCCCCACCCCCCAACCCCCTGTGCTGCTGCGGGCCGGGGGCGGGGAGCCCGTACCGGAAGTCCTCGGAGCCGATCACCTCGGTGTAGTACATCACTTTGCACTTGTGCGACGACACCTGCAGGGAGGCCAGCACATCGTCCACCCGCGGCAGGCTGGTGGCGGCGCACGCAGGCATGCTGTGGAACCTCCACTGCAGGATGTAGAAGCCCGGCCACCTGGTCACGTGCGAGCCCTGGAACGAGTGGGGTGGCGCCGGCTGAGAACTCCCGCTGAGACCCCCCGCTGAGACCCCGCCTGGCCCCAAGCCCCAGCGCGCACCGCCCGGCCGGCCCCGCGGCTGGAGAGTCGACTACGCGCTCCTGGGCTGGTTCCACTCGGGTCCGCGCGCCCTGCAGCCAGGCCCCTCCCAGGTGCCGGTGGCCTCTGGGAGGGACTCTTGGCGCCTGTCCGCCCCCAGGACTTGCAGCTTCCGGGGAAGAAAAGCTGCCGCAGAAGCAGGTGGCTGGTGGGATGGGATGAGGGAGCGTGGGCGGGGACCCCTCATCCAGCCTTCAGAGGCTCCAAACAGATCATCTGACCCGGCAGTGCTCTCTCAGACCTGCTTCCGATGCTCTTACTAGAGCATTCTGGCTAACAGAATGCAATCTAGGGCAGAACGTCAACCTCTGAAAATTATCTTCTTCACTAATTCTGGAGCTTAAACTGTTTATTATTTTTAAAACCCAATAAAATACTCTCTTTTCCTCTACTTCTCGGCCCCCCCCGACTGACAGGCTCCTCCCTGAGAACTGTAAAGGCGGCAGAATTACGCATCTATCGCGCAGGCCAGAGCACCTGAGAACCACCGCTCTTCGCATAAGGACTCAACACGACCGGCCACGATACGAAGAATGAGCTGACAGAGCATTTCTAAACGAACGCGAGGGCTCAGTGACGACAGCTAACAGCTTCCCCAGCACATGCTGGTCTCCCTGCTGTTCAGGGTGACTGTCCTCTCGGGGAAGGCTGGATCCCAGCTGTCCACGGGCACAGAATGCCTTTCCCTGCCTTCCATGTCGCTTCTGTGAAACTAACTTCGAAGAAAACTCAGGCACTTGAGCTAAAAGTCATGAATTCATCCCAGAAGCCTTGCTCAGGTTTGAGCTCCCTGTCGTCGGAGCCTCCCTGGGCTTCCCGGGTCATTCTGACTGTAACGAGCACTGGACACAGCCACGGGCGCTCCGTGGCGGACAGACAGCGCCAGCCACGCAGGACAGCAAGGCGGCAGCAGACCCCTCCCTTTAGAAGACAAAACCCCCAAGCTGTGGAGGGCCTTGGACGGCCTACCTGCACGCTCTCGCCTTCTCTGCAGATCAGGGGCGACTCCACCACGCTGTAGTCGCGGCCCAACTGCCACACCCGGTCTATCAGCTGCACGTTGTTCCCTCCGGGGGAGGTGATGCTGTGTGCCCCCAGGGAGTCCTTCTTGGGGGGCTGGGGTGACCTCTTGGAGTGGTAGATGTTGAAGACGATGTCTCCTTTGCACACGTCAAAATCCCAAGTGATCACTGAAGAGGCATCCACGATCTGAATGAGAATCTGGAAGCAGAGAGTGCGTTCAACGGGAGCCCCCGGGCCCCGGGGCCGACACAGTGGCAGCCTTGTCTCTGCGGGGAGCTTCTGGGCCCAGGCGTGTGTGTCGCAGGAAGGAGGGAGGCCTGTCCCGTCAGCCCATCGGCCGTCTCTTCACCCTCACCCACCGTTCCGCCCCCAGCTTCTCCTGCTCTCCCTCCTCCCAGCCCTCCTGCTCCATGTCATAGGCCGAGCTCCGCGGCCCCCCTCAGCTGCACCCGCAGCCCAAACTCCCCGCTGCACGACCCTTAGCACCCGACATGCCGGCTGCCGGCCGTAGAAATGCCATAACAACACAGAGCAGAAGTGACTCAAGGTGGTTCAGAAGTGGTTCCATGGACTGTTCTAGGCTGGCGAGCACGAGGATGTCCCAGAGAAGGTGGGAGCTGAGTAAAGGGCACGTAGAGGAACAGAAGGAAGCGCTCCAGGCAGGGGCAAGGGACGACTCACAAGGAACAGTGGCAGCCAGGGCCCGCCAAGTGGCCTGGGGCAGGGGAGGGCCGTGGGGACTGAGCACCCACCTCAAACGGGAACCTCCTCACGGCGCCCCCGGCAAGGTTCCCAGCAGGGACTGATCTGAGTCAGACCTGAGCGCGTTACTGGGGGCTCAATGGGAGAACCGAGCGCGGTGGCGAGAGCTCAGGCGGCGGCACCCCCTCCTCCCGGGGCGACCCGGCTGGCGCTTCGCCCGTCAGGCCGACCCCGCGATTCCACCACTGCAGCTTCTCAGCACACAGCGACCCCTCGGGATCTCCCTAAACAGCAGATTCCACGGGGCACGACAGTTCTGTCTGGGTGCCGCAACCGTCCTTCCGAGGCACAATGGCTCCCCCGGGGCCAAGCTCTCCCCAGACGCGGCCCCCTCTGCGGACAGCCCCCCCCCCACACCTTCACCGCAGGGACACGGAGTTCAGCCCTTATTTCCGGGCTCTTATGGCCTTCACTTGTGTTTTACTTAACCCCCAGGGCAGGGCTTAGCATTCCGATGTAGAAAACTTCCACCTGCCACATGCCCCGCGATGCACGAGAACCGTCCCCGCCAGGGAGCTCCCTACCACGACCACAGACCACAGACGAGAGCGAGTTACCTGAGACCAAGAAGAACTCGGCCCGCACCAGTCCTCTGAATATGGAATTACCAGAAATAATCCTCAAGACACAGCCATGAAAAATCTGAGACTTCCCCACTGAACCCACGCGCACGGCAGACCAGATCTGCCCCTGCCTGTTCGAACGCGGCAACCGCAGCCGCCTGCGCCACAAGCGGCCGCGCCGGACACACGCCAGCAGGGACAGATGGCAGGTGGCAGTGAGGGGTCGGCTGGAGCGCACGGCCCCGGCGCGCTGAGCTCTGGCTCGGTGCCCCGCGCCGCCGTCCGGAGCAACCAGCCCACCAGGCACAAACGGCACCGCCCAGAGCTCGGGAAAGCACACTCGGTCGTGAGCCTCAGAGCCCAGACCGCCCACCATGTCACAGGACGCACAGCGTCAGCAGGACACGGCAGTCCTCTCGCTTCCGCCCCAAACGTGACCGTAAGAGGGGAAAACAGAAAAGTGCTTTCTCCGGATCCTGCTCGACTTACAAAAACGGGCAAATTCTTCCACGAACAGAAACAACCGAAGTGCAGTCATGAAGAGACAGACACGGAAACCAGCCTTGCGGAGTCGTTAGATGACCTCAGGCGCAGAGTCCGTGTCCCACGGGGAAGCCTCCCACCAGCCACACGCCCTGCGCCCGCGCGTCCCTGGCAGAGCAGAGGTCAGGAGGCCTCGCCGCCTTCTGGGCGCAGGTCCCTCGAGAGACGCTTGTCCCTCAACGCACACTTTCACCCCAACTAAAGGTTTGGGAAAAAAAAAAAAAAAACCCTAAAGGCCAAGACCAGAAAAAGCATTTGATGCTTCCGAAGGCGCTCCTGCTGGGAAGATGTGCTGAGGAAGGTCCCTGGGGAGATGGGGTCCCCGCCACCCGGGCCCTCGGCGCGGACTGCGCACCTCGTGCGGGGCTCCTTTGAAGACGCTTGCAGACTGGTAGATGGTCTCGGTCCAGAGCCGGAGGTCCTCGTTCTCCAGCTCCTCCGCGGTCCTGTACAGAGACTTGGGGACCAGTCCGCCCTCGGGCACCTCACACTGCAAACACAAACACAGCAGTGAACACTGTGCACACGGAAGGGGCCCTCTGAGAACCAACGCTCCGTGGCGGGCCACGTCCCGGCAGGCGCAATGACCCTGGCCGCTTGGGAATGGAACACGCCGGCACCATCCTAATGCTGGCCGCAGGACTGAGCAACCTAACTTTTTAAAACCTCTTAGATCTACGTGTACAGGCTGATGCTAATTTCCCAGAAAATGTGCACTACTACGTTAGAGGTGCGGGACTCCGTTACTAACGCTGCTTCGCGGAAGAATGACAAGCAGTTACACGGCACTGTAAGGAGAAAACACGACGCTAAGAAATGTTTTGTTCTCGGGGCGCCTGGGTGGCTCAGTGGGTTAAGCCTCTGCCTTCGACTCAGGTCATGATCTCAGGGTCACAGGATTGAGCCCCGCATCGGGCTCTCTGCTCAGCAGGGGGCCTGCTTCCCCTCCCCGCCTCTGTCTGCCTCTGCCTACTTGTGATCTCTGTCAAATAAATAAATAAAATCTTAAAAAAAAAAAGTTTTATTCTCAGCAACTACAGGCAAGTTTTATTATAAACTATGACAGTTAATATATAATCAACAATGAAAGCTTTGTTGTCTAACCCAAGTCGGATCAGTCCATAACACGAGACAGAAAGTAATTAAGGAGAGCCCCTTCTCAGTCCGCCTGCAATGGGCTAGGTTAATTAGAATCTATATACTTCACACATTTCCTAGCTGACCTTGACCCAGTGACTCAACACTGAGGTTCAGAGAACCCCAGCACCTCCTACATGATCAGCCTGGGAGGTGGTGAGCCAGAGGCAGCCTCTGTCCGACGGACCCTGCAGGGAGTGCAGGAGAGCCTGGACCCATGGATGGACGAGGACGACTCTCACCGTGGGGAGCACGTCATGGTTGGTCCGGCGTGCCATTGAGTGAGGTCTCCCTCTGCTCCAGCTCAGTCAGAAGGACCAGCCACTTCTGGACTGTTCCTATCGTGAGTCGTCTGGGTGTCTCTCCACAGCTGACCTTCCAGGTTAATCTCCCGGCCCTCGATCAGGGAGGGTCCTGAGGCTCCCCAGCCCCTCACACCGCGCTGTGCCGATATCTGCCATTCCTGACGCGGGACCGAGGTCCTGAGAGCTGAATCCCGCTGCTGTCCAAACTCCTCTAACCAACCCGAAGACTCCCCTGAAAACCCGGGTTGTTAACTAAATACGCGTATCCAAGCTAGTCTGTACACCTCTCAAAAGGACAACTTTATTTTCCATAGGCTGATAGAGATCCTTTCTCTAAGGACAACAAGACTCCCCTCTGGCTTTAGCTGTCAACAGAGGAAGCCACCTGGGCCTCTGCAGCCTTCGGTCTCCCTCACCCTCACGGGAGCCGGGCACGCCCCGGGGGCTATGGTGCTCAAGGACCCCTCATCACAGTCCAGGGCAGAGAGGCAGATGTGGCCGCCCGATAGCCTAGCCACGCCGTGAATCAAAGCCCCCAGATGACAGAAGTCGTTCTCTTAACGTGTCCCCTTCAAAATGTCACCCTTATTTAATGTCAAGGGGGCGATCTGGCAGAACCACTTGGAGCTTTTCAAAGTGTTTTCATAAAATGCACAATTCCTCAGAACAGTTATAAGAATCTGAGCTGCACAGAACTGAGCGAATAAAGGTGCAATTACATTAGGCTCCAAAACAAATTCTCATTATATTTAACAATGAAGAAATACACATGTTGCCAACAATTACCAAAATGGGTCTGTGTGGTTTAGCCCTGGGTCAGAGAAATGTCAGCCAAATAAAGAAAAACAAAACAGAACAAAAAACAATAATCCAAACTGAAAGTCTGAAAATCGTTTATGCCAACCGACACCCACCTTTCCCACCCCCGTGAAGCAGCCAAACACAGAGCGGCTTGCCTCGACACATACCATGCACTCCCCGCTCAGGAAGTCTGGAATGATCTCTTTATCGATGTAGTCCAGCAGGCCTCCGGGACCCTGGTAGTCATTTCCTGCATAAATCAGGAATTTCCTTCTGGTGTTGTCATCAATGAACGGACTAACCTGCAGGTAATGAGAAAAGACACGCAGTCCTTTCGCTTTGCTGTGTGACTTCCACAGATTAAAATTACCTTGTGACAGTATGAGTGGGGGGCGGCAGGGAGCCTGACACACTTTTTCATAACGTCTATTTGCGTAACAAAAGGACTCTCAGAGCTCTGCGGTTTGAGAGGGCCTGTATGTTTCCACATTTGCTGTTTCCTGACTAGTTAAGACGAACAGACACAGGGACAGGAAAGCCAGCCCAGGCGCCTCGTACGCGGCTCCCGGCTTGGGCAGCGGCGCGGCCACACCCACCAGCGTCCAGAGGACCGGGAAGACGCGGGGGGCGCGCAGGATGAGGAGGCGGCCGAGCGTCTCGGGGTAGTTGGCCTCCACCACCTCTATGATGCGCAGCAGGGCCTTGACGCCGGGTCTCCACAGGTGGCGCATGTTGAGCCCCTCCAGGTCCACCAGGCAGGTCCACGAGCTGCGGGGGTGCAGACGTGTGAGCCACGCACTAGACACGCACGCGTGCAAGCCACGTCCTAAGTGATCTTCTTGACAGTACGAAACCGCCATTGAGAGCCGTTTCCAAAACCAGACCAGTTTCTAAAACGTCAAGCGCCAGGAACTGCGCTTCCAGCCCGTGGCCCGCGGCGCACGGACCCATGGGGGAGCCCCGGCCCGGAGCAGCAGCAGCTCAGCGGCTCGCTGACAGCGAGGAACCCCACTCGGACCCGCGCGCGACCCCGCAGACAAGGCGCCCGATGCGCTGGGCCTGACTGGCCGGGCCACCTCGACAGACCAAGCGGGGCACGAGTCTGGCTTCTGACGCCCGGAGTGCCCGAAGCGCCAGCAGCTCCCCCAGCAGACAGACATACTGAAGCTGGCGCTGCAGCCCGGACTGGACCCTCGAGACTCCCTCCTGCCAGGCGGCGCTGCCCTCCCAGGCCCCCGCTGGGCCTTTCTATGTCCACCCCCGCACCACCGCACATTTCCTAAACAGTTCACCGTAGCGACAAGTACGGCTCAGAAATGCAGAATAACGTCCTCGCAGCCCTGCAGCTACGACAGACAAAGCTGACCTGCGCCCCGGGGCTCCCAAGGACCCGAGGACTAACCGGACAAGCCGACCCACTCAGACTGAGGGGACAGCAGTGCCTCACTCAGGGGTACAGATACCAAAATCCAGCACCTACCCCTCCCAACCAACCCAACTGCATGTACAGCTTTCGGTCTTCTACCTTCTGGAATACTGCAGAAAACGGAAAGCTATTTAGACTTGGTTCTAGAAATCTAAAAGCCTAAAAGTCAAAGCAGATTTTGGCCCCAAAAGTCAAGTAGAGGTATTTACCCCACATTCTCAATAAGCTGGAAGGGAAAACAAAATCAATATCTACCTGATAGGTCGACCGAAGACTTTTGTATTTTCTTCACACCGTCTCAGCCCTTCTTCGTTTATGGAAAGAACCTGTGTGTGAAATGGCCACAAAAGCCCACGATTAGTCTAAGTAACAGCACTGCGTCAAGCTATGAAACAAAGTGACAATCACACAGCCCACTGAGCAGAGAGCCCGATGCGGGGCTCGATCCCAGGACCCTGGGACCATGGGCTGAGCCGAAGGCAGACGCTTAACTCACTGAGCCACCCAGGCGCCCTCATTTGTTTGGTTTTTAATTTAAGCACATCCTTCTCTTCGTAACTGTCCACACTGCGGAGGCTGAAATGGGGGGGGAGCCTGGAGTTCGGGGGGCAGGAAGGAAGCATTTATAATCGTCCAGGTAAGAGATGTGAAGACCTGCGAGTAAGGCAGTGCCGGTCAAACACTACTATGAAGAGGCCTGACGTGAGAGAGCTCAAGAGGAGAGGGGAGGGGTGGGACCAAGCCAGCAAACAAGAGGACCCAAAACTGGTCCCCACGAAGTCATCTTGAGGGGCTATACAGATTTTTTTGTTGATGCTTCCCTATGAAAAACATTTTTATAACTTCCGTGCCCTCTTTTGAAATTTAAAAAATATATTAACAGAGTGGCCTGTTTTTAAATGGGAATTTTATGTTTTAATTATCATTGCTTTGAAAACATACAGATTTTACAATTTTTATTACGTTAGTCACCGCACAGTACTTGATTAGTTTTTGATGTGCTGTTCCATGGTTCACGGCCTGCGCCTAACGCCCGGTGCTCCATGCAGCCCGCGCCCTCCTTAATACCCATCACCGGGCTCACCCATCCCCACAGCCCCCTCCCCTCTGAAACCCCGTTTGTTTCCCGGAGTCCACAGTCTCTCGTGGTTCACCTCCCCCTGTGATTCCCCCCCTTCATTCCCCCTCTTGTCTCCCACTGTCCTCCACGCTATTCCTCATGCTCCACAGATAAGTGACCGGCCTAATGACGAACGCTCTCCATGCTCGCTAACACGGTGAGGTCACCGCGCCGCTGGCAAAGGGAGGGGGCGGCGACCTCCCCAGGAGGCACTTACGTATCGCAGCAGAGCCTCCTCCCCGAGGGCTCGCACCAGGCCCTTGGTGTCCATCTGTCCCAGCCGGAGCACGTACAGCGGCCGCCCGTCTGCAGGAGGGGAGGGTAAGGGAGGATCAGCCGCGTTCCTGAAGAGAAGCTGACGGTGCCACCCTAGAAGCCTTAACAAGGAGCGCGCTTTCCCACAGAAGCCGCGGCTGGCTGTGTGTGGACAGGAGCTCCCCCCAGCCGCTGCCCCTGTGCCCAGGATAAGACCCACCAGCCACATCTCAGCCTCTCATCCGGCTCTAACGACCGGTACTGACGGGGTCGCCGCTAGGCCTCCTCACTTCAACCACCAGGGGGCGGAGCAGAGCTGACTTTCAGTGGCAGGGTGTGGGGAACACCTCAGAATACCCACAGAAACTTTTTTTGTGTGATTTTTTTATTCTGTGATTATGGAGTATTTTAAAATTTTGTTTCTTAGAAAAAACACTTTTTTTTTTTTTCATTTCACGAGTTAACAAAACGTTAACGTCTAGATCTTTTTAAAAGCCAGCGTCCCGATTCCTACCCACAGGATCAGGATAAATGAGGACTTCCAGGACATTTTTAAATCCGCCCCAAGCAGCACACGTTGGCTCTACGTGTTTATAGCCCGGAGGTGTAGCACACGGAACCCGAGAGGAACCTCCCTCACTATACAAATGCCCTGTCTTCACGGGCTAGCGACACAGAGGGAGAAAGATCTCGGTGGCCACAGTGTCCCCTGGAGTCCACAGAGTCTCCAGAGCCTGGACTCCTGACACTCGGTGCCAAAGGGGAGCGGCAGAAAGGCCAGGAACGGAATCTGCTACTGACAGGCCACTGAGACTTGTCTTCTGATACTGGAGGGCCAGCCCTGTCGTCTTGACCAAGAAGTCCAAATTTTCCTTGTATTTACCACCCGGCCTCGGTCTAGATCTGTTCTACTTAAAACAAAAAGGTCTTTGTGCTCCTAAATCTTGTTGAAAGGAAGATTTATAAAAGTTGTTTCCCATATTTATAAAATACCTTTGTTAATGTTTCACTAGCAAACCTTAATCTTTGAAGGGTGGGCAAGCAGAATAAACATATGTTGCTAGGAAAAACAAAGAGCTACAATTAATCCGGAAAAGTACAGAAGATGAGGTCCGGAAAACAGACAAATCCGAGCAGCTCTGTTTTGGAAGAATCTGCTGGGGTGGGGGTGGGGGCAGTTCCAGGGCCACCCTCATGCCCGCTCTACACCCACGATTCCATTCTGTCCACGGTCCAGCTCCGAACCAGCAAAGAGTGAGAGTGAGCATGACTCTGGCAAACGCCGGCTCTCCTGCAAGGCGCGCTACGGAGAGCGATCCAAGAGAACTGCGCCCGGCTTAACCCACCCTTCGTTTGGGGGCGTCACTGCCTCGGCTTGTGTTTTCCTTCCTGCCCAAAACGCAGCTGAAGTTCCTCACTGTTTTGATAGAGAAAACCTGGCTACATGTTGTCCTAGATCTTGTAGGGATTGCAGTTGAGGAACGTTCCTTTACTAGCACTGTGCTCCTGAAAACACTGCCCTCCAACATGCCGGTTTTTTAATGAGTCAAAACAAAGTCTTTGTGACCAAGAGAGGAAGTGAAGAAACTTGGTGGCCAAGGGGCCACGAGCCGAGGGAAGGAGCAGACAGCCCGCCTCTGCTGCTCTATGGGGGGCTTCGGGGGGCTTCCGAGGGGGCGGGGTGGAGGGGGCTAGACGTATGGATGGACCCCACTCTGTTCCCGGGAGGGGCCCCTTCGACCACACACAGTGCGGCCTCGAAGCGTGTCCAGGACGCCCAGCCCACCTTTGTCGTGGTGGTGCCAGCCCCCCGCATAGTAGTCCTGCAGGACCTGCGGGGGGCTCCAGGTCTCCAGAATGTAGTCCACCTGGTGCTGCTTTCGCCAAGTCAGGGACTGACACAGGATCTCTCTGGCTTTGTCGATATTGAAGTCCCGGGCGCGTAGGAACCGAAGAATATGCTCATCTTTCGGGATCTAGTGAGAGGAAAAGATGTTTCTAAGCAATGTTAAAAGTTGCTAAGGGGGAAAAAAAAAAACAAGTTACTAAGGGAATAACACTCTAAAACTGTCACTTTTCACCACAGGGAGCTGCATTATCACGCTACTTAAAATTAACCGTTACTAAAGAAAACCTTCCTCAATGCTTTAGAAAATCGGTATCGTTAATCGGAATAATCTTTATCGTGGCCCATCTCTGTTTCGGCCAAGTAGAGCAAAGGCATAAATAATTCGTTAAACATCAGATGCTTCAATCCACAGGACTGACTGAGGGTTACGAGCCGGGTGCACTTCTCCGCACTTCCAGGCCACTGGAACAGTGTGACAATACGCAAGCGCTGACTGTGGTCGGGCTGGTGACATTCGTAACGCACTCCTCCTCTAAAGTCTGCTACCGTGTAAGGTGACCAAAACCATGTCGGAGTCTCCTCTGGCCTGGCTGTCTTCCTCTGCGGCCGCGCGCTCGCCGCTGGTCCACAGGAGACAGGAAGGCGGTGGGAGGCGAGCCTGCCAATGACCGCACTGCTGGGAGAGCACGAGGCACGGAGATGGCGCCCAGGCCCGGCTTCAAAGCCTCACCCCAGTGCTCACTCGCCTCAGGCAAGTGACTTCACTGCTCTGTGCCTCAGTCCCCTCCTACGACAGAAACGCCACCACCTCAGGGAGGACCTCATCGAGATGGTGAGAGCGCCTGGGCCAGGGTGAGCGCACCACAGCTGACAGCCGTGAAGACAGCTGCTGTGGTCTCAACAAGGGACACTGAACAGTCCTCAGAACGTGGCTCTTGTAACTGGGGCTGACAGCTGACGGAACTCGAGCGCGGGCCCACTCCATGCAACCCCAGCTTCCCTTCACTAAGTGACGCCAGCACCCAGCCGGACACGCCAGTCTGCCTGTGCTCGCCACCAGCCCCCTACTGGTATGAAGCTTGTTAGAAAAACCGGATTTCTGAACAAGGCTAAAATTCTACCAAAAACCTCAAAATGAAAGCTCACATACTTCTGGTCTTGGAACCATCTGTGAAATCCTTCCAAAGCTTCTGAAAATTAAACCATCTGAATCCTTGGGGGCGCCTGGATGGCTCAGTAGGTTGAGTGTCCGGCTCTTGGTTTCAGCTCAGGTTGTGATCTCAGGGTTGCGGGATGGAGTCCCAGGTTGCGCTCCTCGCTTAGCGGGGAGTCTGCTGGGTATTCTCTCCCTCTTCTTCTCCCTCTATCCCTCCCCCCACTCTATCTAAAATAAATAAATAAATAAATAATCTTTTAAAAACCTGAATATTTGGAATATAATATTGCCTTGTAACTTGACCTGGAATTGTTCTTAAGGGAGACCCTCCCCTGGTAAGCCTCGAAAAGCACAGCTGACTGTACACAGCGGGGCATCTCAACTCGCCAGGAGGGACTCGGATGCCACACCCAGAAATACAGCTCCCCCGACACTGGGACTGAGAGGGACATCCCCAGCTACGGCAATCGGGAACATGTACTCTCTGAAACTACAAGCAGGACCAGGTCCAGAGCAACAAAGACAGCACCGTGCACAGGGGGTGTAGGTTCTCACTTTGCCCTTGTGGGTCTCCTGGAGCCACTGGCGAAGCCGGATCAGGCAGCTCTCCTGTAGCGGGGTCAAATCACCCAGGTACCTCTTGATGTAGTCTGCGTCCAGTTTGTCTGCAATAGAAGTTGCAGGACAACATTTACACAGAGAACACTGGAACGTGAAGGCTTCCAAACTGGTCCTGCTCAGCAAAGTTAAGTGTGGTTCCTTGAGTCACGGAACTCAACAATACCCCAGGGGCTGCAGAGCCAAGCCGGCACCCTGGAGACCCTCGCTGAGAGTCTGTAAGATCAAATCACTGACCGAGCCCCGGGTCCAGCTAGTGATTCGGTTACATTCCCTGATCACTGCGTGGTCAACTCTATTTGCAAAACTGCAACACTACTCACGACAGGAGAAAATCTGTACCAGATGATGAGTGACTATTTTAATTCAAACTTATATAAAGAAGACCTACGTGACATAAAACTATGAAATAAACCAAGCATGTAGACTTAAACCTATTCTGAAAAGAGCTACTGCGCTCAAGAATACAAGGGGGGGCGCCTGGGGGGCTCAGTGGGCTAAAGCCTCTGCCTTTAGCTCGGGTCATGATCTCAGGGTCCTGGGATCGAGTCCCGAGTCAGGCTCTGCTCAGCGGGGAGCCTGCTTTCCCTCTCTCTCTGCCTGCCTCTCTGCCTACTTGTGATCTCTGTCTGTCAAATAAATAAATAAAATAAAATAATGTATTTTAAAAAAAAAAGAATACAAGAAATCTTCTTCATGATTGGGTACCTAAAATACAGCAAACGCTCACGAGGTGGAAAAATAAAACGTGTCCCCAAACCAATTTAAGTCTCCGCCACCTGCGACCTACTGAATGGCAAACAAATCACACAGTTTTGCTACAGAGAAGAAAGTGTGGGAAGAGAAACCAATACTTCAACAAAACTTAGGAGTGGTAGAATTTTCTTGGGTGGTTTCACAGAGGGCGTCACTCTGAGAAATAAACAGGTGTGTGCGCGTGCATGCGTGCACGTGTTGTGTGTGTGCACACGTGTTTAGCACAGCACACCGGCTACGTGCAGACCCCAGAGCCAGCCACCTCAGCTCAGTCCCAGGGCCACCACCCGCTGGCTGTGTGACTCCGTGCAAGTTACTCAGCTCCTCTGGGCCTCAGGTCACTCATGCAGAAAATGAGGGTAATAAGCACTTTGTAGTAAGACGGAACCACGGTCAAGTGAGTAAATTTTCATTAAGTGCTGACAACAGGGCCTAGCACAGTTTGATGGTGATACAGCTGTGAAAAGGATCCGTTGCTACCTTTCACTCACTAAAGATGCCCTGAAAATAAACACATTTCCTGGTATCAAGAAAAGAATAACTTGATATAACCCTTCCTGCCCATTAAAAAACATTAAATGTTTCTCCATTCTAGGAAAAAAATAAAAGGTGGCAAAGGGACAGTGATTATCTCCATGCGTCCTCAGGAAACAGGCATGGGTGGAGGAAGCAGAGGGGAAAGGACTCCTCGGAGTGCCCTGGCCTGGCTCGCGGGACGACCCTGTCTCCAACGCACCGTCCGGGGTCCCCGCCACGGGCTCGGGCGGCCCGCTGGGGCTGCTGAGGGCCTCGCTACCCGGCCCCTCCGCCTGGGCAGCGTCTGGAACCACAATAGCCAAGGACGCTGCCTGCTTCTTACGCGACGAGGAGGCCTCCGAGGACGGGGCAATGGAAGGGGGAGTCCAGCGGGGCACGAACGTTATGCCTTCTTCTTCCAGCTGACGAAGGTAGTATTCGATGATTTCTTTTCCCTTTAAAACAAAACCAATTTTAAAGGTTAGCGTATATTCAACGTTCAAATCTTTCATCTCCCGCAGGTTTTTAAAACACTAATAAAAACTGAATTACTACAAAATAAATCTATAAAAAGAAAAGTGAAATGCCTTTGTGTTTTTTGTTTTTCTAATTGTTTTACTTCTTCTCCAAAGGTCTAGGAAATCATATCTAAAAAGACAGAATTTCTTTTTAGGACGAGTTAGAAGCACTGATTTATCAAACTTGTACTCAGCGTATGCTTTGTGTCTCCATCCAAATTCGAACACCTTGAGAAGAAAGCAGGCCTTCCAGAAGCTCTCAGAACCCCACATGGATATACTTCACAACCACATTCCACACACTGAGCAGCGGGATAAAAATGAGAAGGAAATGGGGGCGCCTGGGTGGCCCAGTCGGTTAAGCATCCGACTCTTGATTTTAGCTCAGGACATGGTCTCAGGGTTGTGCGTTCAAGCCCCACATCAGGCTTCGGGCTCAGCGGGGAGCCTGCTTGAGATTCTCTTTCCTTCTCCCTCTGCACCTTCCCACTGCGCTCACGCACTCCCCCCACCCAATCAAATAAATAAATCTTAAAAAAAAAAAAAAAAAAAAAGAGAAGGAAAGTTTTTCCACAGATAATAATAATCCAACGGCTGGGGACCCCCAGGAGATCCCCAGCAAGCGTCTCCTCGAGCAGTGTCTCCTGCCCACAGACCCGAAGGTGGCAGATGGGGGTGCTGTCCGCCGGTGGCTCCTGCCTCACCCAGCCCACCCCAGCCTGCCAGTGATTCTAAGCAGGGAGCCACGGCCAGTGGCCACAGGCTCCCTGACTCCACTGGCTGCCAGCATCATCTGAGCCCCCATCCTACCCTACAGCGCCCTGGAACACAAGGCTCGGGGAAAAGCCAAGTACTTCCTTGTCTTGAAACGGCGGGGATCCCGAATGCCCATTCCAGCCTTCTGAAAGCACTGCCGGCTCGGAGCACCTCAGAGGCTCTTGCCTCCGCTTTCCATAAAATCCCAATGTGGACTCACTTTTTTAATGTTGCTGGTGTACTGTTTCATTGCAATTTTTTCCACTGTACTTTCAAAACCAAAGAAAGATTTAATATCTAAACTTGCAGACTGTTCAAAACAAGTCCAATCTTCATTTTCAGGGTGAACCTGTAGATAAATGAGAGATATTCCCATTAACTTTGCTGACAACTGACAAGGTCATTTGCTCTTCAATCAACTGGTAACCAAAAGAAAACATTTTATTTGACCAACAATGTTATTATCATGAAAGCACTAGATGGAAAAATGTACAGGAAGGTTCAAAATCATGAAAAGACTTAAATAATATTTCTAAAGTACTCTAAAAAATTTCTTAAAATGACTGTTCAAAGGAGAGCTTCAGGGGCGCCTGGGTGGCTCAGTGGGTTAAAGCGTCTGTCTTTGGCTCAGGTCATGATCTCAGGGTCCTGGGATCGAGACCCGCATTGAGCTCTCTGCTCAGCAGGGAGCCTGCCTCCCCGCCCCTCCCCGCCGCCTCCTTGTGATCTCTGTCAAATAAATAAATAAAATCTTAAAAAAAAAAAAAAAAAAAGGAGAGCTTCCTTTTCATTCTTGGTTCACCCGTCACCGTATTCACCGAGCAGTGTTCTCCATCATAAACAAATCAAAGATCCTGGCCTTATGAAGCTGACGGTCTGGACGGGGAGAATGGCAATTAGCCGTAAACGTAAGAGGTAAGAAATTCTGCCATTGTTGGAAGACAAGTGCCAAGGGAGAAAGGAACAGTGGTGGAGCAGGCTAAAAGGACCAGGGTGTGTGGGGGTGGGGGGTGGGCCACAGGGAGGCAGCAGAATTCTACAGGGTCTACAGGGTGTTTAGGCCGGCTTCATCCAGAAGGACAGACAGAGCACAGACTGAAGGAGGTGAGGGCGGGAGCCAAGCAGAGACCCGGGGCAGAGTGCTCCCAGCAGAGGGCGCGCTTGCAGCCCTTAGGGAAGCGCGCCTACGAGATCCGAGCCCCAAGACTGCGCAGGCTTGTGCACAAGACAGGCAGGACGGCAGATGTGTGATTAAGAGAAAATGCAAGGCCTTATAAGCCACTGGAAGGCCCCTGGGCTCCTCCTCTGAGGGAAATTCAGGGACACTGTACAGAGTATGCCATGATCTGATACATTTTAAAAGGATCATTTTGGGTTCAGTGCTACGGATATGTTGTAGGAAGGTACGAGAGAAGCAGACAGACCCTATTAGATCCTTCTAATAATCTGGTAACAGAAGCTATTGAAGATGGGGCGGCAGATAAAAGCCCTCAGCCTCATCCTAGAGGAATGCATTACAGGTACCCCCCTCCCCAGAGTCTGCATTCCCCCACTTTGCTTTTCTGAAAGATCTACATATTTACCTAGTTTTGATAACCAAAAGAAATCCAAAGAGGATTTCCGCTTTTAGGAGAAAGGGCAAAAAGCAAAAACAGCATTCACTGTTTTGCAAAAGCTATTAGAGAGCAGCTCACACCCCAAGCCCAAGCCGTGAGACGGTCGCCAAGGCCCCTCCTGGAGAGCCACACTCGGCATCCCAGCATCAGGACTCCGGAGCCTAGAGCCGAGTCTCTGAGCATCTGGGCTTTATCTGCATTTACTTAGTGCATTTGTTAGCAAGATGTGTCCTAAGGTCTCAGAAAACCTTAAAGAGGTTATTTTTTTTGAGTCTGGGAACGCTAACAAATTTTTCCATACAAACTCATGGTAATTTGCTGTTTCGCTCTGCCCCATTTCGGCATACATTCACAGGAACACTCTACTTTCAGAGAGCGAAGGAAAACTAGCTCGGGCCCTTCCGCATATACTTCTAGAGTGTCAGAGTGGCGCCCGAGAGGAAGGGACACATTAAGGTAACATTTAAAGACAAATCAAGGCATCACCAGGCTCCCTTAACTGCTACAATAACGTAGTCCATTCTGCAGTAAACCACACCCGCCACCTTGCTGATCCCACCAATGAAAAATGAGGGACCACAGCTGCTGCGGAGCCACCCTTCGAGACGAGGCAGCGGATGGCGGTGACAAGTGGGGGCCAAGCAGCCCCCCCCCCAGAGTGCGGTGGCCGCACGCGCGTCTGTCCCCGGAGGCCAGTTACTCACGGTGTAGCAGCAGTGCTCATTGATGATGACCCGGTTAGAAAAGGTTTCGTTGTGGGCCTCAATGTGCAAAGTACGTTCCCGAGAATTCAGTGAGTTTTTCTGGACAAAATAAACATAATCAACTCCTGCAATCTTTAGAAAACAAAATGAAGAGAAAAAGGGCTTATTAATAACACCAAATGCAACACGGGCTTTGAATATAAGTTCCTCTAGTTTGGGGATGGCCTAAGGTGTCCCCACAGGCACCTTTTTAAGCAGCCTCGGTGCGTCTATGTCCAGCTTACAGCGCCGTTCTATAACGTGAATAGCCCCATCTTCACTCTTGAACTCATTCACAGTGTCACTGTCCACAAACATCGGGATCAAAGGACATGTAGGAAACCTCCTTTCATAGGCCTGTAAAAGAATTTTTTAAAAAAGAAATTGAACAGAGACGCAACACTGATATTCTCCCTGGGAAAAAAAGCATCTCTTAATACATGTCCACATGTTACATCTTCCTTTTTACATTATAAACTTCTATTGAAAAAAAAAAAAAAAAAGATATTCTATGTTCATGGACTGGGAGACTCAACACAGTAAAGATGTCAACTCTCCCCATATGGATATAGAGGTTTAACATAATTCCTACAAAATCCCAGAAAGGCTAATTATTTTTTAAGCTACAGACAAGATTATTTTAAAATTGATAAGGAAAAGCAGAAGAACTGAAATAGCTATAACAATTTTGAAACAGAAGACTAAATTGGGAGGAGTCACTTTACATGATACGTACGGTATTAGCGCCGACTACACAGCTACAGTGATCCAGGCTCTTGGTACTGGCAGAGGGACAGACACAGAGATCAATGGACAGAGCAGAGAGCCGTAAACTAACCCACACAAATATGCCCAACTGATTTCTGACAAAGGTGCAAAAGCAATTCAATGGAAGAAGTGTAGCCTTTTTTCCCAACAAATATTACTAGAAAAATTGCACACCGATAGGCAAGAAAAAAAAAATGGACCTCGGGACTAAAAATGGACCTAAACCACATGCCTTATATAAAAATTAACTCAAAATGGATCAAGGACTTAACCATTTTTGTAACCTTCTTGAAATGACACCACTATGGGGGCACCTGGGGGGCTCAGTCAGTTGAGTGTCCGGCTCTTAGTTTCAGTTCAGCTCCTGATCTCAGGGTCATGGGAATGAGCCCCGTGTTGGGTTCCACGCTTAGCACTGAGTCTGCTTGAGAGTCTCTCTCTCTCTCCCCCTCTGCCTCTCCTCCCCTAAAATAAATTAAATAAACTCTTAAAGAAAGAAAGAAAGAAAGAGATGACACCACTGTAGAAATGGAGAACAGATGAGCGGTTGCTATGGGGTAAGGGCAGGGGGTGGGGTGTGACCGTAACAGGATAACAAAGAAAGATGCTTGGAAACTGTTCTGTATCTTCACTGCATCAACATCAAGCCCTGGTTCTCACGATGTACCAGAGTTTCCCAAAATGCTACCAGTGGGGGAAAATGGTTAAAGAGCACATAGCATCTCTCCGTCTTATTCCTTATGAATAATGTATTATCAGTATATCGTGAATCTTCAATTATCACAAAATAAAAAAATTAAGAAAAGAAAGTTTCACTTGTTATATAATTCATCCGAGCTTTCAGAACACGCACTCAGGCACCTGAGTTTGCCGTGTGTGTGTGTGTGGTCATCTGTGAAGACATCTTTGCTGAAGACCTTGCTACATTCACACTAAAACCTAAGCCACCCAGCAGCTCACAGGGGTGTGTGAGCAGGAAACCACTGGACTCGGGATGACAAGTGCTGGGCTGTAAGAAGCAGCATAAAAAAGAAGCCCAGGGCCGGGGCATCACTCCTCCAGCAGGTGGCCTAAAAATGCGGGGGAGGAGAGGCTGAGTTCCCACCTCAATCACAACCAAGCACAGACTTAAGAACTGTACAGTGTTAAAAAGATGAATGAAAATCTGAAGGCAACGCAGACTGCTCTGATCCTCCCTAGGACTAGGTGCGAGTGGTCTGGGGCATCAGCGAAGTAACGAGAGCGCCATTTCTGCAGAAAGTTTCCTAATGGGCCCCGTGAAGAGGGCTGATGTGTGAACAGAAGTAATACTCTGATCATAACACCTTTTCTGAAACCCCGTAAAGCACCAGAGCCACCCGCTAACCCCTCTCCGGCTGGTTTTCACTAGTCCTGCTGCAGGTGACCCGCAACCCCCGTACATCTCTCCTCCCCCTCCCTAACATCGCAGGGTTACAGCAATCCGAAACCTTTGGGCTGTGCTGCTGCCATCTCCGTATTTACCAGATCCCACGCTAGCGAATGTGGGAGAGAGGAGAAACGGAAGCAGACGGTTCAGGAAAGGGAGTCAGGGTAACATAAAAGCATGTCCTAAGAATAAGCAAGTGCATAAAAGGCTTGAGGAGAAAGAGAACACCCTCAAGCTTCGGAGAGTTCGTGGTCTGGGAAGGCTGCACGGAAGAGGAAGCGCTGACACTGGTCTGTTTTTAATCAGCAAGGAGGGGAGAGATGTCCAGGAAAGAGAACCCAGGAGTGCACCTCAAGGGAACGTCGGGGTGCAAAGAGGCACCCAAAGCTGGCGGGGGGGGGGACGACGGTGGGCTGCGGTGACACTGTGACAAGGCAGGTCTCTACTGGGACTGACCACATGGCCAGGCCCTGGGGGTGCAGCGCTGGTCGCCCTGGAGCTGACCACCTCTGCACAGGATGGAGGAGGAGGAACTGGACCATGTGATGAGAGTCGCCTTCTCAGAAAATTAATGACAGTCTCGCATAGGACAGTCTGGAAGGGAGGCAAAATTTATGTGGCCACCAGTTGTATTTGGTTTTTTGAATGTTTTTACTTTGAAAGTCAGAAACATTCTTCGTATTTATCTACTCTCCTCCTCCACTCAAATACATTCTGAATCCCATTACTGCTATAGTCTCGATAAATCACACAGTATTTGTCTCTTAATGCGTTTTAAACGAACAACATTTAAGAAGTTTATCTAACTGCTCAGATAACACCACAGATAAGTGTCAAGGAGGCCCTAAAATTAGTTAAAGCACTACACACATGAACAAGTCTAGAAAAAAATTTGCTATCCTTTGTCCTACAGCCACTGAAAACCATCTAAGCCGACTTCCAAACTGTAACGCACGAACGAGCAAACGCACGAACGAGCCGGCCTCGCGCAGCGCAACACCCTGACATACTGACTGCGTGACAACACTAGGGCTTCAGACACAACAACTCTCTTTAACCCACTGGCCCACCCAGGCGCCCCAAAACAATTCTCTTTAGGTTACATAAAGGAAAAGCAAGCACTCGCCAAGAAACGACATAAGCTAGGGTCTCTCTACCCAAAGGCCTATTAGATCACTTTCCAAATACCCATAACAGCTTTTAAACTCCTGAAAGAGAGGGGCCGGCACTGGGCATTTCCCACGCAGCCCGGCCCATGGTTCAAAACACAGTACAAACGCTGCGGTCCCGGTAAAGCCATCGGCCGCGGAGACGCCGGTGCACAGACGCTCACCCGCACCTTACTGCAAGCACCGGGCCGGAAGCATCCACCTCCCTCCCTCTGTGCCGGTCACCCTGCCCCAGACGCCTTACTCAGCCACAGTGCAGACACCAAGTGCCATTTCTCTTGGCATTGCCTAAAACAACGTCACTGTTGGATAAACATTCTTTGACTTATGGAATAAAACCTTACTAAATAAACCAACGAATCCAGCTTTTCGTTTCTGTGCTCACCTAACCTGGGCCAATCTTTCAGAGATATATATAAGATTAATGAATTCTGCATACCGTTGGCACAGAAAACCCTAACTTTCTAGAAGCCTGCAGAAAGCCTTAAGTCTCTGAAATTGCTTACAGATCCCAGATTCCAGGTTTCCAGTACCAATTACAACCTACTAAGCTGCTACAACCTCTGAAAATTAGCAGCACTCCAATTTAATTACAAACATTAATACATGTTCTAGTTTTAGCCACAGGAAGGGCCTAGAAGCAATGACATCTCAGCAGCCACGAGAAACATGGCATCTAGATCGTGGTTTCAATACCACCCCTACCACGGAGGAACGCACGCACCGTGAAGTGGCTGATGACAGGTCTGGAGGAAGGGAAGGTCAAGGTCAATCTGAAGAACTTACCAGAAATCAAGGATGTGCTCGGTGACCGGTGGAGACAGGAGAAAAGGACACAAAAACCAACCCGAAGGGGTTCCCTCCCCAACTCTGGGGTCATTTGAGCACCAGAAAGAGAAAAGACAGTGAAGCTTTATAAGCCACAGAGTAACACTCAAAAAAAACGGGCAGGGGAGGAAATCATGCCGGAAAATGTCACCTAATAACCACCAGAGCGAACGACACAATCGGAGAATCCCAGCTGTGCAAGCACCAATCCTCGGTCACGGGTGCAGATAAGGACCCTCAAATGGCACTGCTGGGGGTGGCTGTCAGATGGGGCATCACAGTCTCACACGATCATCCCGCAGCTTACCAGGTGCGAGGGGACAAAGGAGCCTTTATGCGGAAAGATCTAGCAGACACCACCTGGGCCGAACAGTTCAACTCAGGACCAACAAGCTGACAGGCCCGGCGGGGAGCACGCACAGCGGGCGCGGTCCTCACAACGAAATGGTGAGCCTGGAGCTCACCGCGAGGAACCAACAGACGGGGCCAGGCTACGGAACGCTGTGCAGAACCACCAGCCTGCACTCTTAAAAAGAAATGGAAAAAAAATTAAATGAAAAATGCTAATGTTTGAAAGATGAACACAAAAAAGCAGAGAACGATCTAGAATAAAGGCAACTAAAGAGACAAGACCACTGAACACACTGGCTCTTTGATTAGAATAAAACAGCTGTACGGACGACTTAAGGAAACGTGAGCACGGGTCACACGTGAAACAGTCATTCTGTCGGTGTGAAATCTCTCCGTGTGACGCTGGCGACCGTCAGGCAGAAGTTCTCTTCTTAGGCAATACGTGCATTAGCATTTGGGTCAAAAGTGTTACGATATACACAACTGACTTTCCCATGGTTCTGCAAACATATGCTGTGTGTGTGCGCGTCTGTGTGTGTGTGTGTGTGTGTGTGTGTGTGTAAGAAAGCAAGCAAATGTGCGAACTGATCTAAGTGGAAATGTATACAGGGGACCCGTGCCCAGGGTCCGTACAGGGGCCCCCTGCCCAGTCCTGCCACCGGAGCTCTGAGGCCCAGAGAGCTCCAGCTTCCGGCTGTTCAAGAGAAGACAGCAGTCGGAATTTCTGTGTGACGCTTCCCTATTTTTAAAACCTTGTTTGGGCCAATGAGCCCAAATAAGCAGGCCGGCAAGTCTTCTCTCGGCGCTCAGGAGTCTCGGGGAGAACCGAGGAG